CAAAATGAGGTGGCTGCTTTAAACCACTGAATTCTGGAGTTGTTTATCATGTACCAATAAACAACAGGACTGAACTCAAGACCACTGAATGAGTTCTAGACATACCATTTATTAGCTCCGTGACCTTGGTCTCTATTTCCTTGTCTGTAATATGGGGATACTTTCCAGTCTGTAAAAGAAGCAGTTGAGGCTCTGAAAAGCTTAGTAACTTTCTGGAGGTCACAGAGCTAGCAAGAAGATCTGGAAAAGTCCTCATGTACCCAACTTCAAAGCTTGGCTAATATGTCTCCATTTCTTCCCCCTTCACACTAGCTTTGAAATCTATGCCTCAGTTTCCCCATTTGTAAAACAGGGATGCTAATAATACCTTCTTTACAAAGTGTATTAAAAAAAAACCCAACATGTCAAGTGCTTAGCTTAGGGCCTGGCACATAGTAAGCAGCCAGTAAACATTCACAGCTATTATTATTTTATTATCTCCTCTGCCAAGGCTGACAGCAAACATCTATTCTGTGCCTGCCTGCTTCCTCCAGGTCTCTAACTTGTGGGAAGCCTCATCAGAGGGCATCTTTAACTGAACAATCCAGAGTGCTACCTCTTAATATTTAATGAATTCCTGAGACTCTCGGAAAGCAATGTGAGAAATATCCTGTAAAAATCTATTCATGTTAATAAAATACCACCCAACAGGTTGGCCATTACCAAGCAATTCAAATTTTCAAGCAGGTCAAATAACTCCTTGCAAAGATTTGTGCGGCTCCCTTCCCCACCCACCTTTCTTCATTTTTGGGGAAGCGTGTATTATTTCCATGGTTAAGGTGCTGGACCTTGGGCTGTCCTCCCTCCCAATTCCAACCAGTGGTTTCAGACACTAACGAGGTGTTAGTGTTCCCTGCTCATCCATCACAGATGTGTGAACTTTGAGCTCCAAATAATAGCTGAGAAATTCAAATTTCACTGCCAAAAAACAGACCTTTCCAAAAGGAACTCTCTTACCTCTTCTGGGCTTTTTTTTTTTTTAATATGTATTTATATGGCTGTGTTGAGTCTTAGTTGTGGCACGTAGGCTTAGTTGCCCTACGGCATTGGGATCTTAGCTCTGGACCAGGGATTGAACTTGCATCCCTTGCACTGGAAGGCTGATTCTTAACCACTGGACCACCTTCTTAAGGTTGACAGAGGCAGGACAGGAGGAAACAAAGTACTGTTCCCTGATGAGAGGAGAGAAGAAATTTCATGTTTTCCTTGGTGGTTAATACATGCCAGGACCCACAGTAGGTACCACCACAGGCATCCCTTATAATGTCTTCAGAATAAGACAGAATGGCTTTATGGACTCATTTGCCAAATGGAAAAATAGAGGTTCAGAGAAGTGAAGCTCCTTACCCTAAGGTCACACAGCTAAGCAAGGGTAATGTCAAAACTGGAACCTGGGTTTTTAAGATCCTGAAGCCTCCGACGGTCATTAACTAGAGGTGCTTTTCAGAATCTTCTGGGGAGCATTTTTGACATTTGCGTTTTCAAGCTTTTTCTCTCTCTCCTCTCTTTCTTCTTCTCCACCTCCCTGTTCCCCTCTCCTCTCCTCCTCCCTCTCCCATGTCACTTCCAGTCACTCTGCATGGATCGAAGTCCTGCTATGTGCCCACGATACACACAGGCAAGGGCCTTTCGGCTTCCCTGCTGGCTCAGGCGGTAAAAAGTCCGCCTGCAGTGCAGGAGACCTGGGGTCGATCCCTGGGCTGGGAAGATCCCCTGGAGGAGGAAAAGGTTACCTACTCCAGTATCCTGGCCTGGAGAATTCCATGGACAGAGGAACCTGGCAGGCTCTAGTCCATGAGGTCGCAAAGAGTCAGACACGACTGACCGACTTTTACTTTCAAGGTCTTTTGGTCAAAAACTACATAAGTCAATTTCAGCTAGCTAAGGAAAAATAAAAGACATTTGTTAGGATGACATGGCGGTATCTCAGGATGTCAACATACTGGACAATAAAGATGCAGAAAGGAAGGGAAAAAGGCAGCTCTGGGGTCTGCACTGGGGGAGGTTCATGGACCTTTACCCCACCATGCTGCCACTGTCAATCCTTGCCTCTCACTAGTTATTAGTTTCCAGGAAAGACTCTTATTGGTGACTGTCCCTGGACCCGATGAGCAAGATCATGTGATGCATCACCTAGGGTACACCTGGAAAGAAGGCAAGATGTTTCCTCCAAGGAGAGAATCACCAAGAGGCTGGCATTCACTTCAAAAGCCGCCCACAGGCATATACCGGGCTGCTGGGATGGAAGTGAAAGTCTGCCTTCAGGTTCATGAGTATCTGGCATAAAGGCAGCCACAAGGTTGGGTCTTAAGCATCTGTGGTCACTCTTCATTCATTCGAGCAAAAGCATATGCAGTCTCCAAAACGAAAGCTCCTTCAAGTCCATGAATATGACTCTGACTCAAGACTCTGACTGCTGGGCCTGACTTAGAGCCTGGAGTATAGCTGGTACTTGTATTAGTTAAAGCACGCTAGGTTCTTCTGGATTTATACCACTTAATTTATACCATTTAAGCATACCACTTAACATCTGTATCTTTTCTTTTTCTTTTTTACCCATGAATCATGTGGAATCTTAGTTCTCCAACCAGGGATCAAACCCGTGCCCCCTGGACTGGGAACGTGGAGTCTTAACCGCTGGACCACAAGGGAAGTCCCTAACCTGTGTGTCTTAAATTAACAAATATTCATTTCTCACACATACTTCCTGTCCATGGAGTGACTCAGGGGTCCAAGTTGAAGGAAGTTCACCGTGTGGAGTTCTTTGGTTTCCACAGCAGGACAAAATAAACTATATAGTATTATCTAGGGAAGTTTCCTTGCAGTAACATATGTTACCTCTGTTAATATTTCTTTGGTCACAACTAATCACATGACTCTTCCTAATTGCAAAGAGGCTGGGAAGTATAGACGCCTACAGGCACACCAGTGATAAGAGAAGTGTCTGTCACAGTAATCAATTAGTATTTTCTCAACACCAATAAAAGGCTAAAAATAGCTGGCATTTTTGAGCCTTTACTATGCCCCACGCTGAACTGGGCTGAATGCATGACTTATCAACTGTCTCCTTTAATTCTCACACCAACCCTAGGAGTTAGTGTGGCTATGGTTCCTATTTTACAGATGAACAACTGGAGACATAGAGAACTAGGTCAATTACCCAAGTTTACACAGACAGAAGTAGAGGAAAGAGGCTTCAAACCCAGGCCATCAGACCCCAGAGCCTGCTCTCAATAGCAAGTTACCCATTTTAATGACTAGGCAGGCACACTGGCTATTCACAATACTCGGAGGCAGAATGTTGCAAGTATGAAAGAGGCCAGGGAAGCAAGGGTCAAGAAGAATGGGGTTGGCTTTTCCCCAAGGAGAATGGTCATGGAATGAACTGGATGGGTGGTGAGTCAAGGTCTTTGAGCTGGATCTTTGGTTCTTACAGGAAGAACTCACCAAGCAGATAAAGGAGAGAAGTATATCTAGTGTGAGAATGTCGACTCCACCTGGTCAAGGATTTGCCATGTTCACTGCTGCATCCCCAGTGCCTAGACAGTGTCAGGCTAATACAGAGATAGGATTCTGGCAATACAGAATCTGAACTTAGTACACGCTCATCAAATACTTGCTCTCAGTGAGCCATGAATGGACTGAAATAGAGCGTAAGCTCTTCTGAACTCCAGGTTGCGACTCTCAGGGAGAGAAGGGGGAGCTTGAGCCATGGCTAAGCAGGGTGCAAGAAGCTGTCTTTCTAGAAGAGGTGTGGGGGCTTCCCTGGGGGTCCAGTGGTTAAGACTCCACACTCCCAATGCAGGGGGCCTGGGTTCTATCCCTGGTCAGGGAACTAGATCCCACATGCCTCAACTGAGAGTTTGCATGCTGCAACTAAAGATCCCACATGCCACTACTAAAAACATCCCGCATGCTGTGACTGGGGTCTGATGCAGCTAAACAAACAAACATAATTTTTTAAAAGCCCCTGGAAGAGGTGCAATTTACCAGAATGGCAATCTCAGATTACTGGCCAGGTGTCTTTCTGAGCTCGAAGAAAGCAAGTCAGATAGGTCCCAGGGGCATCCTGCTCTGAAGGCGCAGGGTTTGGGAAGCACCCAGATGTTTCTGATCATGACTGAGCTGGGGATCTGCCCCGTCAGTGTCCTCCTGTTTGGGAGACAAGAACAGATGAATGGAATGCGGAGGATGGATGTGAGCAAATGTCATGCTTGCAAAGCAACTGCTGGAGGGTCACTGAGATGGGAGACTGGAACTTTATCTCAGTTAAAATCCCACTGAGTTTTTCCCAGATTAGAAAGGAGGCTTTCTTTTCTTTAGAGGCTTGTTTTGCTAACGTTTGCCTTCTCGGCTGGTGACATTCTATAATAATGGTAATAAAAAAGGGAGTGGTGGTGGCTATCTCCTATCCTCTTTTTTAATAAAGGAATTTTTATGACATCATTTTAAAATATGATCTGGTCATTGGGTCACTGGACTTTGAGAGTCTTCCCAGGAAAATCAGTTGTTCTCATGTTGGTGTCTTGATACACAGTCCTCTTTTGGCAGGTCTCTTATGGGTAATGTAACAGATTTAAAAATGTGTTCAAAGCCCACACATGCCATCTTCTGAGCCTGATTTCTCAGACTCAAACCTTTTAGATCTGTGTTCCTTTATGATCTGCTTTCAGCTGGGCCATACCCAATAGCTCATGAGCTGGACACTAAACTTTTGTTTAAGCTGTTTTTTTTTTTTTTTTTTTAATGTCTGAAAGCTTCCTCTCTCTATCTTTATATATGTCGCCTGGCAAAATCATTACCAATCTTCCATGTGTGACTCAGCTACCATCTCCTCTGAGCAGGTGCTTAACTAAAGGTGAGGTGACAGAATCAAGAACCTTGAAGCCAAGCTCCTTCTGCCACTCCACATCGCAGAAGAGAGAGAGAGAGAAAAGCCGAAATTTGACGGCGGTTTTCTCATGATGTCACCTAACAGTATGGAACCCCATGTGCCAGGCACTGTGGATGAGGTTAGTTGACATGGAGTGACCAGACAGCCTGGCGACTTGGGATATCTTGTACTCAATGTCCCAGGGCAGTTATTTATCGTGCCCCCTTTCCCTCTCAAAATTTTCCCGGTTTACAAGAAAAACTGCAGGTTCCCCTGATTTTTCAACAATAGCTTTGTGAGGCAGATGCTATTACTAGTCCCAGGTTACAAGAGAGGAAACTAGGGCTCAGAGAAGTGACGTGACTAGCCTAAAGTCACACGGCTAGGAAGAGCTAGAACCCAAACTGGAATCTTGACAGAATCAATCCCTATCATGGAAGGTAGAACACTCTTCATCTCCAACAATTAAAGAAGAGATGGTGAGTGTCATTAGAAACCTGGGAAACATCTGGACACCCTGAATGGCTCTATAGAAGTCAGGGTTGGATTTGATCCTTTTATCTATTCATTTAATATGTGGTTATTGGGCATGAGTGTGTGTCAGCACGCAGGTGCAGAGTAGTGAGTCTGCACACACACACACACACATACACACACACACATACACACACACACACACCCTCTCTGCCCTTAGCAAGTGTGAATTCTGGAGGGGAAACTAGGTAAGTGACAACACTGATTACCCTATCAGAGCTTTCTCATATACTCCCATTTAACTTTTAAAAAGAGCTTGAGGGACTTCCCTGGTGGTCTAATGGTTAAAACTTCACTTCCAATGGTGTGGGTTCAATGCCTGGTCTGGGAGCTAAGATCCCACATGCCTCATGTCCAAAAATCCAGAACATAAACAATATCACAACAAATCCAGTAAAGACTTTAATAATGGTCCACATCAAAAACAAATCTTAAAAGAAAAATTAAAAAAACAAACAACAACAACAAAAAAGGCCTAAACTGGCCTCTTTCAAGACAAATCCATAATATTTGGGAGCTTACAAAATAATTTTTTTTCAGAATATTTTTTTAATAAAAAGTGTTGAAAACAGTAAACATCACAAAATTTCACACTTAAAAAATCACTCACTTTTTTAATTTCTCTCAAAAAAATTTTTTTCGGTGGCTGTGCTAATACACAACCCAGGTTCCTCCATGGCAAGAACTGGTTGAACGCAGTAGCAATCCTTTAAATGAGAATTATACTCTAGAGCTTAGCAGAAGCCCCATCTGGGTCACAAGAATCTTTATGTCACCTTCCTGGTACCTAAAGGCATTTTAATTTACAATTTCTATTTACATGTAGCTTCTTCCCTAAGTTTTCTTGTGGACTTCATTCCACTTAGGTTTTAAATATACCTGTTTAATGAATTTCCTATTTATTCTTAATCTGTTGAATTCTAGGTATTTCTTTATATATATCTATATCTATAGCTCTGCTTTTTAAATACCTCTGAATTCTAGGTATTTTTTTTCATAGCTCTGGTATTTTTTTCTTTAAATACCTCTGTTTATGCTGCTACACCATATATGATGCCCAAGGCAGACATCACTAATCAATCAGGACCCTCCTGCCCAATGAGCCCAAAGAGGTTCCAGTGGTCACTGCTTTCCCCACACAGCTCCAGGCAGCCACTACTGATCAATCAGGAATGGCATATACAATGAAGCCCATTTATTTTTACTATCTTTGTATCTACTCAGATGTCCTAACGGCTGAGATGTACATGTGATTCTTCCTTACTTACCCCCTGCCCCTCAAGGCGGGTCTGAGGCTGAGACTTTCCTAGTGCAGCAGGGGAATTACTGTTCGGGGGAGCCAAGTCTGAGCCGATCCGTCTGCCCACAGGCCTCCCCTTACCGGGCTTTGGAAAAGGGGCCAAGGCTCCTGAAGGGAGGAGAAGAGAAAGAAGAAAACAGCTCCAGTGAAGTGTCCCTCTCTCCTTTTCTTCTCTCTCCTCTTGCAAAAAAGAAAAGAACAGTATCAGCCAGCCCAAAGCTCATTAATGCACTTGACCTTCTGAAAGAAAATTAATTCCAACTTCACACCTACCGGCTGTGTTGCTCAGCTTTGTCAAAACGTTGGCATCATTAGAGAGGAGATGACATGGCTGGAGGGCACCGAGAGTCTGCCACCTCCCCACGCTGGGCTGAGTGAGTAGGAGCTGGCAGGAAGCACGCGGAGGCGCCGGCCCTGTCAGCTTTTCACTGTGGATTAAGCTCTCTGCTGCTGGCTCTGGAAATTGTTATCACTGTCGAGCTGCCCCAGTGATTCTTACCAGGCTCCCTGACAGCACAGGCCCACAGAGGAGCAGCCTTGAGGGCCTTCTGTTGGAGGGAAGGCAGATTGCGTGTGTGTGTGGGGGGTGATTGTAGGAGAATGTGTGTCTGCATGTATCAGTGTCAGTGTGTATGAACATGGGTATGTGTGTGTGCACTTGAGAATATGGGCATCTGTGTGTGTGTGTGTGAATGTGCATGCATGTGTATGTATGTGTACAACTACACTCAAGTGGGGACCTAAAAGGGCGTGCTTGGGTATCTGTGCCTGTGTGTGTACATTTGTTGTTTAGTCGCTAAGTCGTGTCCAACTCTTTTGTGATTCCACAGACTGTAGCCCGCCAGGCTTCTCTGTCCATGGAATTTCTCAGGCACAAATACTGGAGTGGGTTACCATTACCTTCTCCTGGGGATCTTCCCGACCCGGGGATCAAACCCACATCTCTTCCATCTCCTGCAGTGGCAAGCGGATTCTTTACCAGTGAGCCACCTGGGAAACTTGCATGTACATTTAGGTGGATACAAATGTCATCCTATGCATTGTGAGTACATGTGCCTTGCCAAATGCATACATACATATGCATAAGGGGACACATGTGCAAACACGTTCAGAATTTGTGTGCTCATGTATATGTATGTGAACAAAGCATAGAGAATGGGTGCAAGTTTAAGGGTGCAACTGTGAACATGTGTGGACACATCCACATTCATGTGTACAGGAGACTGTCTTCAGTGCTACAAGATCACCTACAAGTGCCAAGGCAGGTCTGAGTATGAGCAAATCACAGACACCAAATCCCTCTCTCCTTTTTCAACAACGCTATTTGATATTGAAAAAAGTTAAGGGAATTATGGTGACAAATCCCAGAACTTCTTAGATTTTCAGACTCACTTTGATTTTAAATGATTATTTTGAAGTTTATGAGAGCTGGACAGAACATGATCCTTACATTGTTTGGAGCCTAATCTGGCCCCACTGAACACATGGGCTGTGAAACATTGTACATTAAAGTGTGTACATATGTGTCTGTGTGTGTGTGCATGCAAATCCTTATCTGTGTGAGTATTCATATAAGAAGTAACTGTTGCCTGTGTAGGTAGTTCTCCATGCATGTTCTTGTTCAAGCTTCAGTTGAATTTACATATGAATTGGAAATATATGCAGTGTTTCATCTGCATCGGGTACCATTCCAGGTGCAGGAGAGAGAGAGAGAGAGAGAGAGAGAGAGAGACGTAAAACCCTGTTTGTGTCCTTGAGAAGTTTCCTCTTATTTTCCAATTGTAAATATTTACCAGTAGATCCTCAAGGCTCTAGGTGGAGTTGGATTCTGAGGACATGTCCAGGCTCTTCAAGAAGCCATTATTGATTAGTGATGTCTGCCACAGATGTGGGATGTGAGATTTGTAGCAAGTATGTCATTTATTTGCCAGAGAATCAGAATATCACACCTAATATGGCTCTTTGTAATCCTGGGTTTAATGTCTTCATTTTATACCTGGGTAAGCCATGGCAGAAAAGGAGAGGGAGTTTAAGCAGCACTGAGTTTATAGTGAAGGAAGCGAGGAGCCTAGGTTGCAGAATTTAAGGAGCACTCACTCTCAGGTCTGTGCAAATGCTCCCCTCACCTGCCTGACCCTGAGAGTGAGTGCCTTTGTAAACTGTGTGCCCTAGATGTCTCATTTGTTTCACTTTAATCCCAGCCCTGGCTCAAAGTCACATTAAAAGAATCACCACATGCTCTATTTGGAGACAAAGTTCAGTGACTCTATTTACAAGCACTTGTCTGACTGAAAGTTACAGAACTCAACTGAAGCTTAAGAAAAATGGGAATGGGGTGTCTCAAAAAACCCAAGGGCAGAGGTTTAAGTAGGGTGAAGAAAGGTCTAGAACTGGGACCCTGGACAGAATTTGATCTGTTTCTCACACTAGCTTCCATTATTCTTTCTGGGCTGAGTGGCTTTCCCTGCTCCACCAGTTACCAATTCTGTGATCTGGGAAATTTTCTTGCTTTCTTCATCTATATAATGAGCCTATGATTCATCACTTCCTTACCTCCTTACCTGATAGGATTGTAAGGTGTAATATATGTAAATCATCCAAGTGGCTGACAGAGTAAGTGGTATCAGTCATCATCACCAACCTCATCACCACCACCATCACCGCTGTCTTTTGTCTCTTCCTCCTCACAATCACCATCATCGTCATAGTTACTGTCATCACCATCATCATTACTAACACAATCATCAACATCACCATCACTGCTCCATGGAAAAACACTCTGATTTGCCCACACTGGGCTAATTCTGACCCAGTTAATTATGGCCACATTATATATGGAACTTCTGGAGCCAGTCCCTGTTGAGTGTTGGCAGCTGGTGGTTAAAGGGAATGAACAAGGCAAATGCTCAAAGTTCTGAGGTATTCTCTGGTTTGGTTTTGTTAGAACAGCACTGAGGACAGTAGGGGGTTCCCTGCTGTTCCATTTGGATCTGTTGTTCAACTCTTCCCCTTACCTGCTGAAGAGCCCAACAACGGTTCAATCTGCTCTACAATCATTCTTGCCCAGCTGCAGGTTTTGAGGTTTAAGTACTAATTAGTCCATAATTGATTCTAATCTAGGGGATGCCACTGAGTCCACTGGATCCAGGGTAGGTAGGATTTTGTGATGCAGGGGTGGCAGGGGTGAAGGGACAGTAGAACCAGGGAAGGTCTGAAGCTCTGGGTATTGCTGAATCTTGATGGAAGTGGGGGAGAGGAGAAATCCCAAGTAGAATGAGGACCCAGAAAAGGAAGATGGCAACAGA